ATGAGTTTCATGAGGACAAGGACAGGGCTTTACTCACTGCTAGGTGCCCAGCACCTACAACACTATCTTTTTGCTGAAGATAATTCAAAAATCACTGGGGCAATACATGGATGGACAGGGAACTGGCAGAAATTCAAGCTGGATTCAGAAGAGGGCGTGGAACGAGGGGTATCATTGCTGATGTCAGATGGATCTTGGCTGAAAGCAGAGAATACCAGAAAGATGTTTACTTGTTTTTATTGACTATGCAAAGACATTTAACTGTGTGGATCATAACAAATGATGGGTAACACTGCGGAGAATGGGAATTCTAGAACACTTCATTGAGCTTACAAGGAACCTGTAAACAGACCAAGAGGCAGTGGTTGAAAACCAACAAGGGGAGACTGCATGGTTTAAGATCGGGAAAGGTGCGCATCCGTGCTGTATCCTTCCACCATGCTTACTCAATCTGTGTACTGAGCAAATAATCCGAGAACCTGGACTATTTGAAGAAGAACGCAGCATCAGGATTGGAGGAAGACTCATTGTCAGCCGGTGATATGCAGATGACAGCATCTTATTTGCTGAAAGAGAAAACGACTGGAAGCACTCACTGATGAAGGTCAAAGACCACAGCCTTCAGTATGGATTACACCTCAACATAAAGAAAATGAAAATCCTCACAAGTGGACCAATAAGCGACATCATGATAAACAGAGAAAAGACTGACACTGTCAAGGATTTAATTTTACTTGGATCCATAACCCACGTCAATGGAAGCAGTAGTCAAGAAACCAAACATCTGGCAAATGTGCTATGAAAAATCTCTTTAAAATGTTAGAAAGCAAAGATGTCACCTTGAAGACTAATATGCTCCTGACTCAAGCCATGGTATTTTCAGTCACCTCATATGCATGTGAAAGCTGGCAATGAATAAGGAAGACTGAAGAAGAGTTGATGCCTTTGAATTGTTTTGGAGAAGAATATGGAATATACCACTGACAGCCAGAAAAACCAATGGATCTGTCTTAGAAGAAGTACAGCCAAAACGCTCCTTAGAAGTGGGGATGGCGCGACTTCATCTCACATCCTGTGGACAAGCTACAAGGAGGGGCATAAAGAAGGGCATCATGGTTAGTAAAGCAGAGGCTCCGTGAAAAGGAGGAAGGCCCTCAACGAGACGGATCGGCACACAGGCTGCAACAATGGGCTCGAGACAGCACCGACTGCAAGGATGGCACGGGACCAGAAAGTGTTCCGTTCTGTTGTACAGTGGGTAGGGTCACTATGAGTTGGAACTGGCTGGACGGAATCTAACAACAGTGACATTAACATACACTATCTGGCATAGATTTGATGCATTGAACACCAACAATCGATGCCAATGGAAGCAGCAGTCAGGACATTAGACGACGTGTAGCATTGGGAAAGTCAACTGCGAAGGAACTGTTTCAAGTGCTGTGGAGCAAGGATATCTCCTTGAGGACTAAGGTGCGCCTGACACAAGCCATGGTATTTCCAATCGCCTGGTATGCATGTGAGAGCTGGACAATGAATAAGGAAGACCAAAGAAGAGTTGATGCTTTTGAGTTGTGGTACTGGCGGAGAATGCTGAAGGTACCATGGACTGCTAAGAGAACTAACAGATCTGTCCTGGAGGAAGTGCAGCCAGAATGCTCCTTGGAAGCAAGAATGGCCAGACTTCGTCTCACCTATTTTGGTCATGTTGTAAGAAGGGACCATTCCCTGGAGAAGGATGTCATGCTTGGTAGGGTAGAGGGTCAACGAAAGAGGGGGAGGCCTTCAACGAGATGGATTGATACAGTGGCTGCGATGATGGGCTCAAGTACAGCAGGGATTGTGGGGCTGGCGCGGGATCGGGCAGTGTTACGTTCTGCTGTGCATGGGGTCACTATGAGTCGGAAACGATTCGACGCCACTTAACAACAACAACAACAACTGGCACACAGTAGGGACTTGACAAATATCAAAACTGAATGAGTCAATCACTCTCTACCTTATCAAACGAGTTCACCAAGATTAGTCATGTCTCACAGCAGAGTCACGAGTATCATCACAAAGTTATTTTGTTATCACGAGTTATTTTAAGCCAAGGCTGTGTAGCCACATGGAGCTCCCTCACCTACAAATTCTGCACTGAAATAATCAGGTGGTGGCCAGTAGGCAGCTCTTGAGGTGTTTCCAATCACAGAACTAAAGTGTCATTATCTTGGACATTAAGGAACGAGCCCATGTAGATACATACTGTTCCCAATATTCTCCACCTTCCTACTAAGAGGACACATCTCCACCCGTTACTGCGGGACCTGCAGAGCCTTGCTGTCCCACTGCTCGCAGGCTTGGCCACCTGACTCACGCTGGTCAGGGGACTAGAGAACTAAATCATGTCACGTTCCAGCAGACCCTCAGGGGCTCCCTGTGACTGGGCCACTGCTCGTGTCCCTCTGCCACAGAAGAGCATGTCTCAAATACAGGCTGCTCTTTCCACTTGATCCTGGAGCGAAGCTGACGGCCGGGCTGGCACGGAGCTGCAGACCACGGCCAACACACAAGACGACTGAGAACGAAGCCTCTGATGCTGTCAGCCACTGAGACTTGGGGTCTTACTATGACATAATCCTGTGAAAGCTATTTAATGTTTCAAGCTTGCCAACTGTTCTTTGAAATTCACCACCTCTACCAATGAGAAGCAGCAGCCCTGGTGATGCAAACAGCTAAGCAGCGGGCTGCGCACTGAGAGGTCTGCGGTTTGAACTCACCCAGCGCCTCTGTGGGAGACATGACCTGGCGTATTTCTAGAACGATTATAGCCGAGAAAACCTTATGGGACAGTTCTACTGTGTAGCACATGGGTCACTGTAAGCTGGAATCAAATCTATGTCATGGAACAACCACCACCACCGCCAATGAGAATAACATTCAAAACCACATTTAGGAATTAAAACAAAAATGCTCTATGTTTCAGACTACTGCTCTCTTTCTATTTTAATAGCTGTAAATGTTATCTGAATTTACTGAGGATTTATTTTGGCGCAGTTCTTCTTTTCTGTGCACAGCCAATGTTCTGAAAACATGAAACAATGCAAAGAAATATATCAAATCCTAATTAATTCAATTAACATCTGACCACTGTTTCTGGAATATACCAGACATGCTAAAAACAAATTAAAGAAATATTCAGCAGCAAGATGAAATACTCTACACAGGTGATAAGATGCTGACAGGGATTTTTCAGATAAACTATTATTCATAAAAACTGCACAAAGAACAATCTTTCCAACTATAAATCTCAGGAGGTAATATGCTAAGAAACACAGCTATTAGTTTCAGGTTAAGAAAGTAAATCATTTACTTTTTTAAACATAGAAATATTACGTTTGCTATTTTAAAAATCTCAGGTCTTGGGTACACTATGGGAGAGGAGACTCCTGGGCTCCTCTTCAATGGGGAAAGCACTTCAAATGCCTAGTTGTAGTTAGCAGCTCTGGTGGCACAATGGTTAAGTGCTTAGCTGCTAACCAAAAGGTTGATGGTTAGAACCCACCCAGTGCAGCTCTGAGGGGGAAAGAGCCAGTGATCTGCTGACAAAAAAGAGTACATCCCAGGCAATCCTATCAGCAGCTCTCTGTCACACGGGGTCGCCGAGTCAGAATCAACTTATGGCATCCAGTAACAGAACCAAAAAAAAAAACCAAACTCACTGCCATCGAGTCGATCCAACTCACAGCGACCCCTACAGAAGTAGACTGCCCAACCTTCCTTCCGAGGAGTGGCTGGTGGGTTTGAACTGCCAGCCTTCGGATGAGAAGTCAAATGCCTTAGGCACTAGGCCACCAGAGCTCCCCCAATAACAACCAAACAAACAAAAAAAAAACCAACCAAACTCAGTGCCATCGAGTCAATCCAACTCATAGCAAACCCTCCTTGGGTTTCCAAGGCAGTATCTCTACAGAAGTAGATTGCCCAACCTTCCTTACAAGGAGTAGCTGGTGGGTTTGAACTGCCAGTCTTCGGATGAGAAGTCAAATGCCTTAGGCACTATGCCACCAGAGCTCTTCCAATAACAACAGGCAAATCTAAATCACAGGTGGGAAAAACCTACATCCAAGCTCTGGCTGGGCCAGATACTTTTGCCAACAACATTTTCTTAATCTCTCTGAGCTTTATTTTAATCATATGCAAATTATGGGCAAATACTAGTACTAATCCAGGGTTTAGTTATAACTAAAAGTGATTAATGTACTTAAATGGTTCAGTACAGGGATCAGGGTCCAATAAGACACCATGGAGGTGTCAGCCAGTACGTTATGGCCTGATGCATCCCACTGGTCTCCGAACGGGAGGCAGGAGTGAGAGCAGACCCCCCCAGCATTTCCATCTGTCAGAGACACTGGGGTCCTGGCCACCCTCACCCCAGGCAATCTCACCAGGGGCACAACAGATGATACCAGTCAGAATGGGAGAAGAAAGCAGAACAAAACTCAAATTGGTAAAAAAAAAAAAAAAAAAAAAAGGTCCAGACTAACTGGACCACGGAGACCAGAGGGGACCCCTAAGACTATCGTCCTCAAACACTCTTTAAAAAAATCGTTAAAAACCCAAAACTATGCCGAGATCACCTTTTAGCAGAAAAGCAAAGCGACACACAGGATAGTAACGCTGATTAGTGGAGCACCATGAGATGAGTGCTCCACCAACAAACATCTATAGGAGCCCAAAAGTCAACATTTGATTGAAAGCAAAGATGAGGAGATAAGGGGCAGGGAAACTCGAGTGCAGGAAACAGAACACAACTGAAGAGAATGGTGACACAGTGTTAAAAGTATAGCAAACATCATCGGTCAATTTGTGTACAAACTGTCAAATGAGAACCTAACTTGCTGTGTAAACATTCACCAAAAACACAATATTTAAAACAAACAAACAAAAACACCACACAACAATGTGGGTATTATCTTTCAAAGACTTGACTTGAACTTGAATTTCTAAAAGCTTACCAAGTCACAGAACTCAAACACCAGAAGATAGGGAATTGCTTCCACACACTGTCCAACACACTGAAGAATATTTGGATGCTGAAGAATACTGGAAAAACAAAAGTCATGATACTGTTCGTTAGGAAGCATGCTATTAGAAATGTTTCAATGGTAAGCCAAATTTTAATATTCATGATGATATAAATATGACAAACTGAAAAGGTCACATTAAAAATATATTCAACAGATGCAAACTATTAAAATATTCAATAAATATTCAGATTTATTGAATCAATCAATCCCTACCTTTCAAAGGAATTCCACTGAGATTAAAATCACTGCCATCAACTACCAGCATTCCCTTGTTAGCCTTCTGACGTCTACAGGGTTGGTAGTGATGTCTCAGTTTCCTTCCGCATATTAATAATCTCTTTTATTCTTTGTCAATCTTGCTAAAGATCTATCAATTTTATTAATCTTCTCAAGAATCCAGCCTTCTGTTTCACTGATTTTACCTATTGGTTTTGTTTTCAATTTCATTGATATCTGCTGTCTTCAGTATTTCCTTCCTCCTGCTTGCTCCTCTGGCTCTATTATGCTCTTCTTTTCCTAGTTTCTCAGGAGCCCTGGTGGTGTAGTACCTAAGGCATTTGACTGCTAACCAGAAGGCTGGAGGTTCAAACCCACCAGTCACTCCTCGGAAGGAAAACAGGACAATCTACTTCTGTAGAGATACCACCTCAGAAACCCAAGGAAGGGTCGCTATGAGTCGGATCTGACTCAATGGCAGTGAGTTTGGTTGGTTTTGGTTTTCCTAGTTTCTTAAATTGTGAACTTAGATTACTGATTTGAGACTTTTCCTCTTTTTTCACGTGTTCTATACATTTAGGGCTATAAATGTGCCTGTCCTCATTGCTTTAGATGTGTCCCACGTGCTGTATTTTTGCTTGCATTCAGTTCAATATACTTGATTTCCCTGAAGACTTCCTCTTTCAGCCATAGATTACTGAGAAGTATGTTGTTTACTTTCTAAATATTTGGAGATTTTTCTATTATGTGTTTGCTATTAACTTTTAGCTTGATTACACTGTGGTCAAAGAAAAACACCATGTCCAGTTACAACTCTACATTTACTGAGGCTTGTCTTATGGTACAGGATATATGGTCTTAGTATATGTTACACAGATGCTTGAAAAGAATGTTTATTCTCCTGCTAATGGGTAGCATGTTCTATAAATGTCAATTAGATCCCATTGGTTGATAGTACTGTTGAATTCTATATCCTTGATGACTTTGTCAACTGTTGAGAAATAAGTGCTAAAGTTTCCAGTGATAATTATGGGCTTGTTTATTTCTCTTCTCAGTTCTATCCATTTTAGCCTCATCTATTTTAAAGTGCTGCTGTTTCTTGACTACAGTTGTTAGGTGCCACTGAGTCAGTTCCAACTCATGCTGACCCTACGTACAACAGAGGGAAGGACTGCCCAGCCCTGCACCATCCTAAAAATTTTTGCTACGTCTGAGACCACTGTGGCAGCGATAGTGTCGATCCATCTTGCTGAGGGTCTTCCTCCTTTTAGCTGACCCTCTACTTTACCAAGCATGGTGTCCTTCTTCAGAGACTAGTCCTTCCTGCTAACGTGTCCAAAGTACGAGGGATGAACTCATGCTGTCTTCTACCTCTAAGGAGTATTCTGGCTGTACTTTTTCCAAGATAGATGTGTTGGCTCTCTGGCAGCCCATGGTATATTCAATATTCTTCACCAACACCATAATTCAAAGGCATCAATTCTTTTTCAGTCTTTCTTATTCACTGTCCAACTTTCACATGCATATGAGGCAACTGAAAATACCAAATACCATGGCTTGGGTGAATCACCCCCTTAGTCTTCAAAGTGACAGCTTTGCTTTTTTAGCACTTTAAAGAAGTCTTTTGCAGATATGCCCAGTGTAACACAATGTTTGATTTCCTTACTGCCGCTTCCATGGGGGTTGACTGTGGATCCAAATGAAATCCCTGACAACTTCAATCTTCTCTCCGTTTATCATGATGTTTGCTTACTGGGCCAGTTGTGAGAATTTTCGTATTCTTTATGTTGAGGTTTAATCCATGCACTTTGATCTTCATCAATAAGTGCTTTAAGTCCTCTTCACTTGCAGCAAGGAAGGCTGTGTCAACTCCGTATCACAGGTTAATGAGTCTTCCTCCAATCCCGATGCCATGTTCTTTATATATATATAGTTCAGCTTCTCAGATCATTTGCTCAACAAATAAGATTGAATAAGGGTGCTGAAAAGATATAACCCTGATGTACTCTTTTCTTGACTTTAAAGCACGCATTATCACCTTGTTCTCTTCAAACCTGTTAGCCTCTGTACAGGTTCCTCAGCACAATTAAATGCTCTGGAATTTCCATTCTTCAGAATGTTATCTGTCATTTGCTATGATCTACATAGTCAAATGCCTTTGTGTCGATAAAACAAAGATAAACATCTTTCTGATATTCTCTACTTTCAGCCAAGAGTCATCAGATAGCTGCAATGACGTCCCTTGTTCCACATCCTCTTCTGAATCCAGCTTAAGTATCTGGCAGTTTCCTGGTGATATACTGCTGCAACTTTTTTTTTCTTCCAAATTTTTGAGATTTCAGTGAAAGTTTACAGAGCAAATTCATTTTCCAGACAGCAGTTCATACACATTTTGTTTCATGACACTGATTGCAATTCCCACAATGTAACAGCTCTCTTCCAACTTCTTTCCTGTAGTTACCTCTTCCCTGGGCCCTTCTTTCCGATGCATTCCTGCATAGCAGGTCTTTTCAGTGGTTTGACTCTTTTATCGTTATGCAATGTCCCTCTCTTCCCCTGGTAATTCTATTTTTAAATCTTAAAATGTGATTTTTATATAGCTTCCTCTGCTTTCTTTGAATGAATGTTGGCACTGAACATCTTTTTTCCATCCTTTCACTTTCAGGAAACCTACGTTCTTATATTTGAAGTGAGTTTCTTACAGTCAGCATATAGTTGGCTCTTCCTAATTGGTGCGTTAAAACTATTTACATTTAATACATGCTAAGGGCTTGAGTTGGCTCTTTTCTGATTCTTCCCTCTGTTCTATCTATTTCCACTTTCCCGCCTTCGTGGTTCGTGGGTTACTTGAACATTTTTAGAATTCCATTTGAGTTTATCTACAATGTTCCTGAGTGGCTCTTTTCGTATAAATTTTTTAATGGTCGCTCCAGTATTACATAACCTATCACAGTCTACTACTGTTGACATTTTACCAATTCAATGAAATACAGAAATCGTAGCTCCCTTTCCTTACCTTCTCTCATTTGTAACATAATTGCCTTAAGTATTTCCTCTGTGTCTTTTGAGAACCATGTCAGACAATGTTATGGTATTTGCTTCAACCAACAAAGATAATTTCGAAAACTCAAGGAGAGAAGGACTCTTACATACCCATATTTTTGTGCTTTCCTCCTTCCTAATTTTCCAAGATTCCTTCTTTTATGATTTCCTTTCCGTTTAGAGGATTTCCCTTAGCCATTCTTTTAAGGTGCCTTCATCTGAGAATGTCTTCATTTACCTTCATTACTGAAAGATATTTTCAATGGATACAGTAGTCTACAACCAGTTCTTTTATTTTCAGCATTTCAAAAATGTGCCACTTTCTTCGGGCCTCCATGGTTTCCAATGAGAATTCCACTGCCATTCAAATTGTTTTTCCCAAAGGTAAGGTGTCATTTCTCTCTTACTCCTTTCAAGACTCCTCTTTGCCTTTAGTTTTCAGAAGTTTGACTATGATGTGTCTTGGCAAGGATTTCTTTGGGCTTATCCTATTGGGAATTCATTCACCTTCTTGAATATGTAAGTTTCAGTCTTTTCCAAATTTGGAAATATTTCCGCAATTATTTCTTTAAATGCTTCTTCAGTTCCACTCTCCATTTCTTCCCATTCTAGGACTATGATCACACGAATGTTATACCTTTTGTTAGCGTCGCCTATGTCCTTGAGGTTCTACACACTTACCTATTTGGTCTCTTTTCTATTATTCAAACTGTGTAATTCCTATTGTTTTAAGTTCACAAACGATTCCCCTGTCCTCTCCAGTCAGGTGTTGAGCACATCCATCGAGTTGTTTTATTTTGTTTTCTGTAGTGAACCCTCCAAAATGGTTAAGTCTTCTAGTTCTTTGCTGAGACCGTCTATTTTTTTTCTAAGACTCTTTTTTGTTTCAGTTATGCTTGTAATTGCTCACGAAGCACTTCCATGATGGCTACTTTAATACCCTTGTTGGGCAGTTCAAACATCTGCCACTTGACGCGGGCATCTGCTGACTGTCTTTCTCATTCAAGTTGAGTTCTCCTGGTTCTCGGAACGAAAAGTGATTTTTTTTTTTAATTAAAACCTTGACTTTGTAGGTATTATGTTATGACACTTTGGTTCTTATTGAAATGGTGTATTTTGCAGATGGATATCCCAAAGTAGTTTTAAACACTTGATTTTCAACAGACCACAGCCTTGTTTATAGAATATATATTAAGGTTTACTTACTAGTAAGGTTCTCCATTTTTCAAAAAAGTATCTTGTTCCTTTGGGCTTGCACTTGCTTTTAACTCCTTCACTATTACTCTTGCTACACTAGTGCCTGTGTAAATCTCTCCAAGGAGCACCTAAAACCAAAGAACAGTTGTTGAAGTCATTTCCATCAAAACAGTAAAGATAACATTACTCTTATCCAGAAACAAAATACAAGAAAACAGATAGCCAAAAGCCTTCTATTCTTTCACACATTTCCTCTCAAAAAGCTTAGAAAACTCAAATTTTCCTCCATTTTAAATTATTCATCAGATATGTACAACATTCATATAATTATAATATTTCCTTTCTATTTATTTAAAAATGTATTATGCTTTCACAGAAATTAACACTGACCTCATGAAGACCAATTTACAAGCTCAGTTCATACATAACTCAAATGCATCTCAAAACCATTTCAACTGAGTTCTACAATTAGTCTCCCTTTCACGGGAAGTAAACTGACAAATAGCCAATACATGTATCACTGCACGGTAACTCTGAAGAACCACATCGTTCTAAAGACAGCAGGCCTTTACAGAAAACTATTCTGCTAAAATGAACCAAACACAAACTGAGAATTTGCTGCCTCATATAAGAACAAGCTAAATGAGAAATAATAAGTACAGGCGTGCCTCGGAGATATTGTGGGTTCACTTCCAGACCACCGCGATGAAAGTGAGTCACGCAAATTTCGTAGTTTCCCAGTGCATCTAAAACTCATGTTTATACGATATTGAAGTCCATTTGACTGCAATTAGTATTTGACTGCTAACCAGAAGGTTGGCAGTTCAAACCCAACAGCTACTCTGTGGAAGGAAGACTGGGCAATCTCCTTCCATCAAGATTTACTGCATCTGAAACCCAAAGGGGGTTGCTATGAGTCAGAATCAACTTGACAGCAGAGAGTTTGGTTTTGGTTTGGCAGTCTATTAGGTGTGCAATAGCATGGCGAAAAAGTGTGAACTATTACGACAATGACCAAAATGTAATACAGAGACACGAAGTGAGAACATGCTGTTACAAACACGATGCCTAAGACTTGTTCAATGCAGCACTGTCTCCAACCTTCAATTTGTTTTCAGAGAAAAAAAAAAAAAAATAGGGTGTTCCACAATATACCAGTTTGGGTGAAAACCATGACGTCAGCATTTGCACTTAAAGGCCAATCAAAGCTGAAAAACAAACTAACTTCCTTTTAAGACATACTTTTATTATTTTCACAAAACAGATTAATATTAACATCCTGGAAAAAGTAAGCACCTGAACACAAATCAACGTGTTTATAAGGGACAGAATGGCAGTAGAATGCACAGAGAGCATGAAGCAATGCTGATAACGAAGTCCTAGTCTTTGCTTCAAATTACAATATGATAAACTCAACAACCCTAAGATACCAGTTTCAAAAAGGGGCAAAGACAGCAGGTATTCAATAATCTGCCTGGCCGTCTGCCCGCTACCACCGTTCTCATTCCTGGTGTCCATCACCCACACGGACAGTTCACCTTGACCTCAGTTCTTCAGCTTCACTTCCAATCATTTTGTTCGGCAACCTCAACTTAGCAGAAATGCCCACAGGCCTAGACTTAACCGATTGTTATGTGCCAGCAAGCAATTTAAACCTCCAAACCAAATCTACCACGGTTGATGCAATTCTGACTCACTGTTACCCACAGAGCTGCTGGTGGGTTCAAACCACCAACCTTTCAATTAGCAACCAAGCACCACCAGGACTCCTTAGCTTATCATCACCAATAATTATACTACACCCAACACTCTAACTCCTTCTTCTGGGTCTACCGTCCCTTTATTTCCAGCTCACTTAGTTTACCAGTCCAATCCAAGTGTCCAACTTGGCCCTCCAAGTCCAAGTGCTGACAGCACTTTTCCACCAGAGTCCTCACCCCACCCCCAGCTGGTGTAAACACCACACTCCTTCATCATCATCACTCCCACATGCCTCTCTCTGAGGAATTAGTCTATCCAACCCTCTGTGCCAGTGAAATTCAACTGCTTACCTGTGATACAACACCAAACAGAAACACACACACATACAACCAGGACGACCAGTCTCATTTTACACGCATGTGTGTCCTTGGCACCGCCAACCACCCCTCCTGCATTTCCGTAGTGGTACATGGTGCACTGTCCCAAGACTCCCGCAAACCTTCTCTTCCTGTTCAAAACTTCCAACACAGCTTGTCTCCTCCTTACTTTCAAGGGAGGACTTCACCTCCTAGTCACTGAGTGCAGTGTAGTAAATTACTTAGTGTGGCTTTTCTACCCATAAGTCATTGTAAACTCAGTGGTGGAATGAGCAACTGAGGAGCTCTCCTGATTGTAAATGTTAACCACCTGGGTTATTTCTGGTGGGCGTGGCACAATGCAATGTTATGGGAGGCTCACTCTCAGGTGCTCAGAATTCTGTTGTTATGATTGGTTAGTTTGGCCACTCTGCCAAGCACAAAAGGAGGCCTCCTAGAGGCAGAACTCTGACTGCTGGTTGAGGAAGACGTGCTGCCGAAAGAGACAGGCGCTCCTGAGAGAGACATGTGCTGCTGGGAAAGAGACGCAAGAGACACACATTGCTGAGTAGGACACTGAGGGACATGCACTGCTGGGGGAGAGACTGTGAGAGACTTGGCCGAGGGAGAGACTAAGCGTTTTTCCTGAACTTGAATTGTAGCCTGGTGCTTCCCTAATAAACTCCATAATCTGTGAGTTCTGTGTGGCCACTGCAGTGAATTATCGAACCCAGGAGAGAGGTGGTGGGTGCTTTGGGAGGAACGGTTGGTGAAAGGGCTGGAGGGAGGCAGCATGTCTGGCCTTGCAGTATTAGGCCTTGGGTTATTGATGGTGATTCTGTCTTCCTCTTGTGGGATTAGAGGAGGTCAGAACATGTGGCCTCCTTGCCCTTTTTGCACTGAGGAAGTAGTCACACACGAACTTCCTCATAATGGCCCCACCAAATCCACCCAAACCTACCTGAAGGCATGCCACTCTTGCTTCCACTTTCAGAGAGAAACCGCCAGAAATTCCTGTCCCCTTGCTCACTTGAGACCCTGATCCTACAGTTATCCTCGCACTCACACCTGCGTTTCTAATCCCCCTCCCTCTACGTAAAATATGCTGCAGTAGTTTCTCATCTTGTAAAAAATCAAACTAAAAACCTTCTCTTGGCACGACACTTGCTCCCAAACAACTACTCTCCCCGTTCTCCGCTACCTTTCAGAGCAAAACACCTCTAAGAACTGTCTAGATTTCCCGCCTCACTTTTTCTCTTCTCTCCTGAACCTACTGCACGTAAGGACGTGTCATCATTTCACCAACAACAGTCCTTCACGTAACCAAGGATGGGCCTCACACTGCTGAACCCAAACTTTCCATTCTTCATCTCACGCAATTTATACATGTGATTTCATACAATTCATCTTCTTGAAGTTCCTTTTCTGCCCAATGTTCCCAACAGGCCTCTCTCCTGAGTCTCCTCCTCCGGCTGGTGCTTCTAAGCTTGCTGCACTGGCTCTTTGCTGCCCAGGTCTCTCCACGCTGCAGGGCCTCAGGGCTCAGGCCTTGCGGCTCCCTTCTTCTCTACTTCCATATTCTAGAATTACGTACTGCCGTCGCTTTAAATACCACACTCACGTTAAGTTCTCCTAAATTTCTCTCTAGCCTGGAACCCCTCCCTTGAACTTGAGATTTGCAATACCCAGCTGCCTACATGTTAGCCTCACTTATATGGAGAATAACCGTCTTAAACCTAACGTACCTCCAGTGCAGTTAATTACTTCATGTGGCCCTTCTAGCCATAGTCCTCCCTTCTGTGAGGTACTACACTAGCCTCTAAGCCTGTGGTCATGGTTCCGTTTGGGGCTGAGTTGTCCGTTATGTCTGAGGCAGGATCAGGGTGCAATGTATCCTGAGTCCTGCCTTACACCAGAGGGTGTGACTCTGTCACCACCCTTAGTTCCCTTTAGGGTCTACGGTGAATGTTCTGGCACAGTTTGCTCTCTTCCTTGGACCCTGGTTCATCACCATCTCCTCTGCAGGTCTTGGGGCTTGAGAGACAGCACCCAGTTGTCTGACCTGCCTGTTGGGGTTCGTCAGCCCTTGCTGATGTGCGTGAGCGTGTGAGACTAACACCTGACCCGTGGATTTGGGACTTTCCAGCCTCCATAACCAGGTAAGCCATTTCCTTGGCAGTGCAGGAGTTCCAAGAGATGTTACAGCGAGATATGGAACTCTAAGATGGGAGGGAGAGGGCTGAAGGGAGCAGGAGGCGCTGACGTGAGAGATGATGGAGTGGTCCAGCAGGGGGATATGTCTTCAACCTCCACCTTGTGCTGATCCTTCTGAAAGACATTACTTGAGCAATATCCAAAAGTGAGCTCGTGATGTCCTCCCGAGCTGCTCCCCTGTGGTCTTTCCCATCTCAGTTCATGGCAACACCACTCTTCTAGCTCATCAAGCCAAGGACAGAGTTACCCTCGGCTGCCCTCCTCCTCTGGACTCTGTATCTAATGCACCTTAAGTCCCGCATGCTCTTATCTGAAAATCTATCTGCACTTCCACTACTTCTTACCAGGTCCACTGCCATCATGCAGGCACCAGCATCTGTCCCTGAGTGGCCACAGCGGCCTCCGTACTGCACTGAATAGAAAAAAAACTCAACCTGGTGCCGTCAAGTCAATTCTGACTCCCAGCAACCCTACAGAACAGAGCAGAACTGCCCCAGAGGGTTTCCAAGGCTTTAATCTTCACAGAAGCAGACTGCCTCATCTTTCTCCTGCAGAACAGCTGATGGGTTTGAACCATCAACTTTTTGGTTAGCAGACAAGCTCTGAATTGCATTGAATAGTGTTCCCCCAAAATTCACGTACACTTAGAACCTATGTGTGTGACCATATTTGGAAATGAGGTCTTTAGGTATGTAATGAAGTTGAGGCCATGCTGGATTAGAGTGGGTCCTCAGTACAATGAGTGAGTGGTGTCCTCCTAAGTAGAGAGAGGTTTGGAGACACACAGAAGATAGAAAGCCACGTGAAGACATAGACAAAGATCACAGTGACATGACGACAAGGCAAGGCATGCCAAGGACTGCTGGTGACCACCAGAACCTGGAAGAATTCCAGGCCTCTTTTCCCTTCTGTTATTATGGCAACAATTAGAAATTGATACATTAAAGGAAAAAAAAAAAAGACTTGCTTGGAAAAAGTGACACCCCCAGGAATGCTTACGTTCCTGTCCCCATGTAACTTCATGGAGCAGTGGGGACACTCCACAAGGACTACAGTGCCCAGGAAGAATCTGTTAATGTCACACGATGCAATTCTTAATCAGCTTTAAATTCTAAACAGTGTAACCAGGAGAAAAAGTGTAAGAGAAAAACCTTTTACCTTTCCAAACCAGCCATTTCCAATCTCCTGTATATAGTTTAGACTGTGGCGTGCAACTTGAGACTTCAAGCCTTCTGTAGAAAGAACATGAAAAAATAAATGTAAATTCTACCAAATCAGAATATTAAAATATGTAACCTATAAAATACACTAAGTTTAAAGCCTGTGCTGATAAACATAGAATACATAAAACTCAATGTCAAAACTGCTTCAAGTTTTAAAACCAACAGTGTTTGAATGAACATCCTGCTCCTGGTTAACTATTATACAAACCAAACCCACTACCACCCAGTCGATTCTTACCTACTCTACAGGAACCACTAGTCACCACTGGAGTGGCCTTCAGAGGAGTTCTGGTGGGACTGTGGTTAGAGCATGCAGCTGTTAAGCTACCAGCCACTCCATGGGAGAAAGATGAGGCACTCAGCTTCCGTAAAGATTTACAGCCGTAAAACTCTATGGGGCAGTTCTACTGTCCCTACTCTGTCCCACAGAGGCGCCGTGAGTCAGAATTGACTCGCCAGCAGTGGGTCTGGTTTGGTTGGAATAGTCTTTACTCAGTCTTTACTTTTCTGATCTCTCCACAGCTGACCTGGACAGAGGATTAACCTTCCGAAGGTATGTTCCTTTAACTTTTTAAAACAGCTTTGTTGTTACTCTTCGCTGCCTTCAAGTCAGTCCCCCATCCCACTCATGGTGCACAGTTCCCACTGATGATCACAGGGCTTTCACCGGATGACTTTTCGGGAAGTAGACTGCCAGGTCTTTCCTCCTAATCTATCCTAGTCTAGCAGCTCTGCCAGAACGTGCTCAACATCACAGTAACACGGAGGCGTCCACTGACAGGTGGACAGGTGGTGGGGCTGTGCCTGAGGCACGCTGACTGGTCAGGAACTGAAGCTGGGTCTCCCGCATGGAAGGCAAAGATTCTACCACCGAACCACCACTGTCGCCAGGAGAGCTAATGAGCTTTGAGCAGTCATCCTCCTCTTCAGATCCTCAGGGCTTGTATTAACAGTCAGGGGACGATCTTTCCCAAAACTGCTTCCCCCAGAGGGGCTATGGAAAGAGATCACAGTGAAAGCACAGGAAGACTTAGGACTGTGAAGATCCCAATTCTCTGTAAATTACATCCAATGCAACGCCAATAAAAATCCCAACGGTTTTTTTATGGACAAGATTCTGAAGTTTATACAGTCAAGTAAAGGGAGGAAAACTAGGAGAAAAGGACCTGGAATAGCCAAGACATTTCTAAAAACACAAGAGGAGGAGTCTCATCCTACAAGATTACTGCTGTTAGCTGTCAGCTGTAGACTTACTACAAGCTCATGTTACCGTCCAGCCAATTCCCACTCCTGGTGACCCCATGGATTATAGGGTAGAACTGCTCCATAGGGTTTAATCTTTTCCAAAGCTGACTGCCAGGCCTTTCTTCTGGGGTGCCACTTGGGGAGGGGTTGAACCACTAACCTTTAGGTTAGTAATTGAGTGTGAATTGTGTGAGTCATCCAGGGACCTCAGAAGCTACTGTAACTAAGACAGTGTGACAGTGGGACAAGGACCAGACTAATCGACTAATGAAACAGAATAGACAGCTTAGGTGAGAAATACCCCCCCCCAGCCCCCGATACGGAATTAAGAAGCAGAGAGGATAGGAAGGGCTAATCAATAAACGGAGCTAGAAAACAGCCCCCCACAATGAACATTTAAACTGGACTCCCTCCTAACACCACACTGAAAACTCAGCTCATGATGGGTTACGGATTTCAATGTCAGAGCAAAACTTTAAAACTTCAGGGAAATAACACCAACAACAAAACACTTGTAAGAATCATTTTGAACACAAAATAGGGGAGGATTTCTTTGCTCAAAAAGCTCTAAAAGCTCTTAAAAAAACACTCTGAGAGAGAATGTTCAGCCTGACTGTATTAAAATTAGACTCTGTTCATGACAGACCCTGTCTTGGGTTCTGACTCTTCTGAGTTCCCTCATCACCCTCATTTCTGTGTATTTAGTTGTTCTCTCAGTGGGTACCCCAGTGAGTAGGGTTAGCATCTCCAACGTGTAACAGTCTACTTTGAATCGACACCAACTTAGCTTCAGTGGCAACAACAATGTCCCACCTGACACCAGGTGACACTCTAGCTGCAGGAGTATAAACCCGTACAACTCCTGGGGCAGGCAGACTGGCAGTACCCACCAAAATTATAAAGGAACCACTTTCAAAGATTTTCTCTACACATATACTAGCACAGGTGCAAACCAATGAGCTTTATTTTTAATTGTATTTTACTGTGTTTTTGGTGAAGGTTTACATAGCAGTTTAGGTCCTCATTCAACGATTTCTCCACAGGTTGCTCAAGGACACTGTTCCCTTCTTCCCAATGTGTGGACATTCTCATTACTTCCACTCAGGTGGTTCCATTTCTGTTAATCTAGTTTCCCTGCCCCCTCACATGCTCATCTTTGTTTTAAAGTAATTTGTGACCATTTGGTCTCACACACATGATATTTTAAAGGAGCATAGTACTCACAGGTGATTTCTTTATTCTGTGAAACAACCTGCTATTTAGCTAAACAGTGCAAGCTTTATTTTTAGTAGCATAATATTGGAAACAACCCAAACACATATCAATGGGAGACTGGTTAAATTAGTTGTGATGAGTCCATACAATTAGGTGTCATGAAATAAACCAGGATACATAAGCTATCTTTATTGGCATGACAAGATCACTATGGTACACTGGTGAAGGAAAGAAGACGCAGAAGTGTCCTTACCCTGACACTTCTGCAAGAAAAACAGTGGTGGGAGGGGTATGTGCATCCAGAACCTCTGGAACCATGTATGAGAAACCAAGAAGACACGGCTACCCAGGAAGGGTGGTGTGGGAACTGAGGTCAGAGTCAAGGATCAGAGGAAGATTTGTCATTTTTCATACTCTGGTTTTGAACCATGTGAATACAAAATTTATTTAAAAATGAAATATATTTTAAAAAGAGGAAGAAGAAAAATAAAAACTGGTAGCATTCCTTCCAGATTTGCTTGTTAATATATGGCCCAACCTCATCACTTAACATCTCAAATCTCTGTCTTAGTCAAATACAGATCACCTTCATCCTTTTGCAGGACTACATAACATTCCACTGTATGGACTTACCATTATTTCACAAGTTACATATTGACAGACATTTAATGTTTCCATTCAGTACTGGCCAAACAGTGTTCAGCTGGAACCATCAAGGAGGTTTATTCCTGAACCAGACCCAGCGCCCAGAAAGGATGAGACCCAACTCCTGCAGGAGTACAATGGGCCTGGCCACTAGAATGCAACTTGGCCAAGAAGCAGAGGGGAGAGAAATAAACAAGCAGAGGAGGGGACAGGCATTTCAACAGCTCATGATTGATTAGCAGCAAGCTCCCATCCTCAGATCTCGGAAACGACTGTGTGAAACTACACCAGTGGGATGGCTAGGCCTTACCTACAGAGGGCTGGAACTGCGATGGAGCTGGTAGTGAGACACTGGGCACGGAGAGGGTGAAGACTTCTGCTGGGGACTGAACGGAAGGCGTGTCTTCTGCTGGTGGCGTAAAGTCAATCTCATCATCAAAGTTATCTTCAAACTCCTGAAATAAAGCAAGAGCACCACCTCTGAGAGAAGCCAGCTTGAGAGAAAGCATGCAGTCACTCACTCTCTCATTCGTGCACACACACGCCGGCCGACCGTGACGACGCGGACGCTCACTCGCTCATTCGTGCGCACACACGCCGGCTGACCGTGATGACGCGGACGCTCACTCGCTCATTCGCACGCACACACAACACTGGCCAATGATGATGAATGCAGACAGTCATGCACTCATTCACGCACACACACATAACACCGGCCAATGGTGACAATATGGACACTCACTCGCTCATTCGCACACACACACAACACTGGCCAATCATGATGAATGCAGACACTCACGCACTCATTCACACACACACACAACACCGGCCAACAGTGACGATGTGGACACTCACCCACTCATCAGAGCATACTGCCATCAATTCTCTTTTTTCCAGTTCAAACCTACCTCAACTGTTAAGCTATGTAATTGTGTTCTCCAGCCCAAGAGCAGAATAAGGAAGATTTGGAAATAAATTATACATGTTTCACGTAACTTTTAAACTGACAGCCTGAAGTTAAATACAAAAATTTTTTAAGTGACTATGTGACTTAACAAAATGGAAATACTCCTCTAGCCTCAAAAATTCACTTACGAATGACCAGAGTTTAAGTCATCTGTTTTTTTCCTATTCACTTTTACAAATCTCTTTGCATACTGAAATAAAATACATTTATTTTAGTTTTTTAGCTCTGGTAGCATAGTGCCTAAGGCACTTGACTGCTGACCAGAAGGCTGGCGGTTCAAACCCACCAGCCACTCCTTGGAAGGAAGATGGGCAATCTACTTCCATAGTGATACTGCCTCAGAAACCCAAGGAGGGGTCGCTATGAGTCAGGTACAACTTGACGGCACATAACAACAACCAGAACAACATTTTAGTTTTAATTCCATATGCATTTCTAGTTGCAATGTGATTTCTATCAAATTAAGGATAGTGAAAAGACACTTTTCAACAAGTATTCTCTGGAAAGGGTAACAAGGGGTAGGTAAAAAAATTATCAGGACCTGGGCCGTGAAGATCAGTATAAAACTGCAGCACTCAGCATCATCAACTAAAAATGTCTGGTTTTTCTTAAGATGTCAACCTCAGAGCCAAGGGCAGACACCAGGGCTGAGGCAGCCTCTCAGTGACTGTTCAGAGGAAGGCTCTCCTGCTGCTTCCCACCCGCAGTCCAGGGAGCTGGGTGCACCTGATGTCCACGGTAAGCTAGTGCCATGTCTTCCTGACTAAATAATGGCAAGACACAGATGATTATCAAGGCCATTGGTCATTCGTTCAGGAGATGACTTCCGGGGACCATTTGGCTCAAAAATGACGCAGTTCTCAGTCTAAAGGAAACCAACAGATTCCAGGGGTCATCCTTTCACTCGGGTGACACAGCTGAAGTGCTGGAGACGACCAGGGTGGCTCCTGGGCCACCTGCCTCAGAATCACCAGGGGAAGCTTGGTAACAATACAGGTTCAGGACCTCACCTTCAATCTGCACTATCATCAACTCCCTGACTCAGTGCTGAGATTAAATGAGGGTAGAACCATCTAAGGCAACGTGAGAGACAGAGACTGGATTCACAGATCAGCAACACAGGTCCATGTCCCCAGACAGCCAGGCTTCTGATGCAAAGTCCCTCAGCAAGACTGACAATCAAACCCCAATACCCCACTACCACTGAGTTGAGTCCGACTCAGAGTGACCCTATAGGGCTGAGAAGAACTGCCCCACAGGGTTTTCAAAAATCTCTATGGAAGAAGACTGCCTCATCTTTCTCCTGTGGAGTGGCTGGTGGGTTCAAACTCCCAACCTTTGGGTTAGGGCTGAGTGTTTTAAGCACTGTGCCAACAGAGCTCCATGGGTGCTCACGGGACCTAGACAGTCTTTTCTTGAAAGCACGTGCCCACAAGTGTGCTCCCACAGAGGGCAACATCAGGTTTCCACACAAAGACTGCTGAGATCCTAGGACCTAGCGTTGACACCAAGCCCACCACACTTAGGATGACTCCCCCCCTACAGCTCCCCTCAGTGCTCAGCCTTCTGAGTATATCGCTGGCAGAGAGCAACGAGGACGGCCCACACCACCTCCTTGGAGCTGCCGCCAGACACAAAACTGAAATACAGAGCCCAACAGGCCTGAGGCTCAAGAGTGAGGCCCACCTGTGCAGGAGAAAGACAGTCTAACTAGAAGGCAGCTGTCTTCCACATGTGTAAAATGCACATGGACAAACATTTACAAAATGCTTTCCCCAGTCGGAATCAGCGGCCCTCAGGACCCCTGACACCCCTCAGTCCAGTAAGGAACACAAAGGGCCTTATTCTCTATATGGGTGCACATTCTCTTTGGTTTGGCTTGTGTATGTGTATGTAACCCACCAGCCACTCCTCGAAAGATTGGCCAATCTACTTCCGTAACGGTATCGCCTTGGAAACCCAAGGAGGGGTCGCGATGAGTCATATCTGACTCGACGGCAGTGAGTCTGATTTGGTTTTGTATGTGTATTTATACATATATTTATATATAGGAATATGTACATTTTCCCCCATGTGTTTCTTTTTAAAAACTCTTCATGGAGCCCCAGTATATGCCAGGCGGGCAGCAGCCAGCTCAGGAGCAGGGTTTCCCGGCTGGTTCCCTGGCAGATCCCCCATCAGCTGCTACTGCAGCCCCTGCAGACTCTACCTCCCCTGTGCCACCACTCCACTTGCCCTTTGGGGAAAACTGAAGAAGCTCTCTTCTCCTCATCCCATACAGGCATCTGAGGGATCCCCGTGACCCACAACCTCCAGGCCCATAAACCATCAAAACCAGTCTGCTCTTCCTCCAGGCCTCCACCGGGGAGCCTGTCACCATGCCTGACTGCTCACTTACCAAAACAAAGTCCGTCACAGGCCAGTGGTGACTGTCACTGGCCACCAAGGCAGGGGCCGGCAAACTGCAGCCTGTGGCAAACAGCCATCCTGCTTATTTTGGTAAACAAAGCTCTACTGGCACACAGCCACGACTGTGTGATTCCATATCGTCTATGGCTGCTGTAGAGCTACAATGGCAGAGCTGAGAGCTGAGCGGCAGTGGTGCAGGTCTGTGTCTCTGGGTAGGGCCCACAGCATTTACTATTTACTACAGCTGAAAATCTTTACTACCTGGCCATCCAGAAAAAGTATGCCGACCTCTGCTCCTACGGGACTGGGATGGGTACCCCAGGCTGCTGATTAAAGTATCAAAAGACGATTTTAGTGTCTGCCACCTGTGCTCACCTTAAAGTCTATTTCTGGTTCCTTACAGCAGGATATGCAGTTTGCAATTAACACGATCAACAGCATTAAACTGCACACAGATAGGATCACGAAAGATATGGAAACTCCTGCAGCAGGCACCTCCCCTGGAAAGAGAAAGAGAAAGTACTGAAAACACGGACAGACGTTCCAAAATCAACTGTAATTCGTGAACCAACACTCTTCCCCCAGGTATAAATGGGTCCAACAGTTCAATAATTAGCTCAAATGCTCAAGACAGTGCAGGTGATCAGTGCTGGGTACAGCGCTGGTTGGTTGTAACTGTTTATTGTGAAATCGTCTTAGACGAGAGAGGAACCGCCAGGTGGAAGAGGGGGGAATCCCACAGACCCTTAGTCAGTCTGCACCACGTCACATCAACACCGCCAGGACACACTCACCAAAACCGAGACTAACCCGGTGCGATACTATGAACCAAACATCAGACTTCACTCGACTGTCACCAGTTTTTCCACGCATGTCCTTTTTCTGCTCTATGATGCAACTCAGGCTACCAACGCTGCGTCATCATCACGTCTATTCAGACCCTTCCCTCTGCGGCAGTCTCTCAGCCTCTCCTGCTCCCATAACTCTGACGCTTTTGAAGGGCACAGGGAGCCTGACTCTGGATGGGGTTCCATCCTGACCATGACTCGTTGTAAATTGGTTCTGATGTAAGTCAAGTACCTCTTCTTCTTCTTTTTTATAGTTTTCTTTACTATTCCATTTTATTATCAGTATCACTATAAATCTTTGGTTTTGGGGTTGGAAACATTACATCTGAAGATGACAATATCAGCAAATTAGATGCTGCGATGCTGTATGCAGTACATATTACTAATGATAAATGCAACGCACTGCCATCGAGTTGGATCCAACTCATAGCGACCCCTTCTTGGGTTTCCAAGGCGGTATCACTATGGACATAGATTGCCCAACCTTCCTTCTGGGAGGGGCTGGTGGGTTTGAACCGCCAGCCTTCTGGTTAGCAGTTAAATGCCTTACGCACTACACCACCAGAGCTCCCCTTACTAATGATAAGGTGTACTGAAAAAAAGAAAAACAAAAAACCCACCACCACAGACAATGCTAAGTGCAGTTCATCATAACTCGAAAGTCAGGGACTATCCACATTAGGAGCTCTGGAGGCATAGTGCCTAAGGCATTTGACTGCTAACCAGAAGTTCAAACCCACCAGCCACTACTCAGAAGGAAGATGGGTGATCCACTTCCATAATGATACTGCCTCGGAAACCCAATCCCATGAGTCGGATCCGACTTGACAGCAGTGAGCTTCTATCAGTACGGACTCACAGACACTTATTTTATTATGTGAGTCATTCTCTAATTGCTGTCGTTGAGTTGATTTTGACTGACAGTGACCCTCTATGACAGAACTGCCCCATAGGGTTTCTTACGCTACAATCTTTATGGAAGGGGTACAGGGAGTGCAGGGGTTAAGCACCTGGCTGCTAACCAAAAGGTCCATGGTTCAAACCTACCAGCTGCTCCACAGGAGAAAGATGTGGCAGTCTGCTTCTGACAACAGCCCTGGAAACTCTAAGGGGCAGTTCCACTCTGTCCTATAGGTCATGACGACTCAGAACCAACTCCATGGCAATGGGATTTTTTTCTTCCAAAGGTAATCTTTATGAGAGCAGATAGCCAGATCTTTTATCCCACAGGATTGCTGGCGGGTTCTAATCTCCGACCTTTTGGTTAGAGGCCCCATGTCTAACCACCGTGCCACCAGGTCTCCAATGCTGCCATCACTTACTACATGGCTCAAAATGCCCCAGCTTTGGCCACTGGGGGCTCTTTCAAGTTGCCCAGTGGACCCTGACATGCTTCATCCTTTTCCCTTTTCTCCGATTTTCTGGCATTATAACAGGCTCTGGGCTCTTCTGATATCTTCTCTGCTCCAATTCTAGAACTGGGAACTGGCCATTTCTCCAAGGAGCCCTGGTCACAATAAGGAGATTTTCTACCAGAGCTGGTTAGCAGCTGCAACCACAGCCCGTGGCCTGATTCTGTACTGGAGGATGGGAAGTGGGAGATGGGTAAGAATGAGTTTATATGTTTAAAGGGCTGTTCTAAAAACTAACAATAATAAATAAATAAAAACACATGCTCACACAGAGAAGACTATCCAATGGATAAAGCATGTGGGCCACAAAGCCTAAAATATTCTACTCTCTGGTACTTTACAGAAAAGGTTTGCCAACCCCTGTTCAGAGCATAAAGATCTTTATATTTTAGTTTCTGGAAGGACTCTTAGGAAGGACTTGGCCACCCAGAAAACACCTTCTTCTACTACTAGGCAATTCTGAACTTTTTCTTTGGTAGGACAGAATGGCAGTTCTCAGTTACCAGGACTTCACTAAGACATGGTAAAGCCGGCGTGACAGCAGCCACTGACGCCCTTCAACGTCACAAGGGAAGAGATGGATCAGGATCAGCATCAACAACTCAAAGCTGAGCCCGGTGAGGTGGAGGTCAGACGTGCCTCCTCTCTCCAACCTCCTTCCCAATTCTGACACCAGCCATCCCTCCCACGGCACTCTGCTTCTCTGCTGCCTTTGATAATCCATTGCAAAGGCCACATGGAACTCACAGATAAAACTCATGATGATGAGGTTTATTACGGAAGTTGTTGTTGTTGTTGTTGTGTGCCGTCGAGTCAGACCCGACTCATAGTCGACCCCTCCTTGGGTTTCCAAGGCAGTATCACTACAGAAGTAGATTGCCCAACCTTCCTTCCAAGGAGTGACTGCTGAGTTTGAACTGCCAGCCTTCTGGTTAGCAGTCAAATGCCTTAGGTACTACGCTACCAGAGCTCCCTATTAGGGAAGTAACAGGCTACAATTCAGGATCAGGAAGGAGTCAAGATACTGTAGGCAATGCTTCTCTCTAGCCTCAGCCTCTTGGCACCACACCTCTTGGCCTCTGCCCTGCTCAGGCAAGCATTACAAAGCTCTCTTAGCTCTGCCGATAAGTGCCCGGGGCACCCCACTCCACCAGCAAGCCTCCTGCCTGGAGATGCTCAGTGTCCTTGTGCCGTGGGTCCGGAAGCTCTCTCCTGCTGGTCTCCTGATCCGCTGCCACTACTTCCCTGCTTCTCTCACCATCTCAGCAGGTGTTACTGCAATCGCTCTATCTCCTGGGTTGAGGAGGTTCTCCAAGCAGGGCTCAGGGGTCCAAAGGACCTGTCTTTTCTTCTTGGTGATACTCAGGTCCCCCTTGCCATCTCTGGGATGGCTCATGGTAAGCCTAGTAGGATGACAAAACTGACCAATCCCCTCATTAGGGTTCCATACACATTTGATTATTGCAAATCTGGTCCAGGCAGGGCTGCCAGGAGGCAGGTCCAGTGATCTGACTCAAGACACTATCTTCTGCTATGAAGTCTTCAGTGCTATGAAAAGTCACATCCACGTTAAAACTAACGAATTATGCCAAGCAAGGTCCTACCTGGAACACATGCATACTTCCGTCACAACATCATGTACTCAGATTTCCCCCGCATACAATAAGTTTCTCTAACCCAATGCTCAGCTGTCCCACTAAAGGTGCTGTACGCTGCCTCAGAAAAGCATCAGGCAGCCTGAGGTAGTAGTGTGCAGTTATCACTTTTACAAACAGTTTTACTTATTGTATTTTTCTTTCATCATTCCAAAGTACTGTGCTTTAAAAAAGTCTACAAAGAAGGAAAAACTTCCGTAAAACGAAGAAATCAAACCACTGTGGTAGGAGCTGCAAGGTAAGACTATCTCACGTAAACCACAGAAGGGAAGTAAACTCCAGCCATGAGGAACCATAACTGAAGTCCCCACACCCCATTGGTCCAACTGGAAACCGGGCCTCTGGCAGGTTCCGGATGGCAACTGTTAGGTAACTCTGAAGAAAGCAGGTTTCCTCTACCATCCTGTGTCCACAGCGTCAGACATACACAAAGCCAACCAATCAGGAGAAACACCAACAACAGGAAAGCGTTCCCCCATCAGCAGTGTGCTGAGTACAGAGAGCAAGGATGATCGGGGGTTCAGGATACTTCGTCTGCGTCCCTGAAAAACAATTTGGCACCTCTACAGCACATTATGTGACTTTTCCTTTTATAGGTTTTGAAGCATTGAAATGTGCATCAAGCACTTGATTTAATAAGAAAACTTGAGAAACAGTAGGAGGTAGGCACATATTATTTGTTTTATGGACAGGTAATTTGGAGGATATAATTTCTCAGTAGTGACTCACGGCCAGTCAAGAGTACTACCTAGCTATTAAGTCAACCATTATAAATCCCTAGCTGGAACCCCAAATGAACTTGGGACACATATGTAATTAACTAATGAGTGACCTGGATTAAAGAAAAAATCGTAAGAGTCCAAAGGTAAGAAGAAATGTTTTAGAAGAAAGCTCTTCTGGTTTTCACTAAAAATCTGCACAGCCAACAGAATTTCAGATTCTCACGGACTGTATACTTTCTGGAACCACAGAGGCTAGATAAGCCCCTGAAACTATTGCCCTGAGATAATCTTTAAACCTTAAACCAAAAACATTCCCTGAAGTCTTCTTAAAACCAAACAATAGCTTAGCTTAATTAGTGAAAAAAGGTCTGCCTTGAGCATTATGCTTTTTAAGAACTTCTATACAGGATTAAAGGAGCTCTGGTAGCATAGTGGCTAAAGCACTTGACTGCTAACCAGAAGGCTGGCGGTTCAAACCCACCAGCCACTCCTCAGAAGGAAGGTTGGGCAATCCTACTTCCGTAGTGATACTGCCTCAGAAACCCAAGGAGGGGTCGCTATGAGTCGGGGGTCGACTCGACGGCACGTAACAACAACAACAACATACAGGATTAAAGGCGCTCTGACGGTGCAGTGCGGAAGGCATCTGACTGCTAACCAGAAGGCTGGCCACTCCATGAAGGAAGATGGGGCAATCTACCTCCGTAAAGATTTACCACCTCAGAAGCACAATGTGGTCGCGATGAGTCCCAATCGATTCGATGGCAGCGAGTTTGTTTGGTTTATATAGGATCAAACTGACAAGAGTAACTTAAAAGATAAGATAGGCATCTTAGGGGGCAGTAACTTAATTAACGA